AAAAACTGAGTGTTTTTTTTCGCTAATAACAATAAGTAATGTAAGAAATCTGTAAGTAAAAGCCATAAGGTGTACATTTTGTCCTATTTTGATAACAACCAATTAACTGCCAAGCAACAGTACGTTGATGTCCAAGTTATCTGTAGTAGTCAAAAAAAAATTTGTTTTAGAAATAGAACATTAAAAAAAGCTTATAAAATTGCTTAGAACAAAAACGATTTTGTTGTTTCTTCTTAGACAAAAAGAAAATTTGGGTTTTTCCTGCGATACCACTGACAGTGAAATAAAGCAAAGAGAACTGTGTGCAAATTGTACTTGGGTTTACGATAAATGGCAGAGAGAAGTTAGTGGATAAATAAATAAATGAATAAATAAATAAATAAATAAATAAACAAATAAATAAGTAAATAAACAAAATAAATAATTGAATAAACGAATAAAAAAAAGAAGTAAATAAACGAGCAATCAAAAGAATGAATAGATAAATAAATATAAAAATAAATAAATGATTCTTTAGTAAACCTAATCTAAAAAGTGTAAAGAGATTAAGGAAAAACGAAAAAGTTACAAAAATTTTCCAGGAAAAGGTATTTTTGTAGAATGTTTTCTAAAACAGATTAATGAACTCTAAAAGATGGTTGCTATACGTTGAAAATTAAAGCAAAAAAGAAAAAAAAAACATCTTTTATAAAAAGCATAATTATTTTCATTTATAGAACAACAGCCATTTATTAGAATCGTGGTATTGATTCAGATGAAAGAGATGCTTTACTTTACTGATATCTTTTGAGGAAGAAAAAAGAAGAAACAGACGTAAAAACCGAAAAAAAAATACAGATCGAACATCTATGATTACTTTGCCAAAAATTCAAAACTCAAGTATTCAACGAGCAATTATAACTTTAACGTATGCTTTTCTTCAATTACCTTATAAGTATTAATAATTGTTTTTAATTGAAGATTATACATTTCTATACATATACCATTTATGTAAAACTTTTTTTTCTTATTACCAACAGATTTTTCATTACTGCAATTTTAGTGGTTTTGACATACAGTGGCAGCTTTTGTCTTATAATATACTAAAAAAGACTATAAAAAACAACAAATTGCTTAAGCAATTTAACTAGTGTCAAATTATTATATTTTTCATAGGTTCAATTCTGTCTCTTCTGCTTTTGTCTAATGCATCAGTTATCAACCAACATATGAATTCGGTACTGAAAAAAACACAAAGTTTACCGCTTATTTTCAGTAAATTTTTTTACAAGATTTTCTCTCTTTTTTTTTCTGTTATTTATTTCCAGAAGTGTAAAATTTCAAAAACACATTTTCACAAATTTGAGATTTAAAATACCAAAATTATATAGATAGAAGCTGCTTCTTTGTTTCTTTTAAGGAATAAAAAGAGAAAAAAGAAGCAAGAATTTAAGCAATTACCCTTACAACAGCAAAATGTTAGGGCAAAACAGGTTGAAAAAACTGAGATTATTTGTAGTGCTGTATGAGCATTGAAGATCATCTGTTCTAATGCCGAATTTATTAGCTGTAACTCTTAAAGATTAGATTAGACAGATATTTTGAGCTTTTTTTTTGTAGCATTTAATAGTTCTTCTTTGTAAACTTTTAGATTATCTAACTTCTTCAGCATTTTTTGATTGTTTGCAGTACAACTTTTTTTTTTGCTCAAAAAATTTGTAGTGAAAAGATTTGAATGGAACATAAATCAGCAATTATGCCACAGTTTTTGAATTAATATAAACAATAAAGAGTTGAATTAAATTTTTCTATTCTTTTTAGATGATGTGAAAAGAAGAAATAAAAGTGTCGCTACTTGGACAAAGCTTTCAAAAAGCAAAAAAAGGAAGAGTAAAATTAGTTAAATGCCGGGAAACACCTAATTAACTGTTTAAACTACAAATCTAATAATGTCACTCAACTTTGTTTATCTTTACAAAATAAAAAAAAAAAAAAAAGAGTCTTTGCTATATCACTTTGCTTCTTTTTTAAAATTTCACTCATACCAATCTGAATTGGTAAAAGCAAAAGTAATCGAAGAATAGGCACCTTCTTCGAAAAAAACCTTTGCACCCGTTGCAAGCACTGATTCCGTAGTGTTTTCCTTTAGCGATGTCACCGCAAACATTACAGTAAAGGGTTTTCTTGATTACAGCTCTTCTAGCGCGTGATTCTGTATCCATTACCAGTCGATCAGAACTACTCGTTGGCATGGAATCTGCAGTGTAGACTCCGGCATAATACTTTTTTTTTTTTTCGCTACTTTTTAACACCTTAAACTGCTCCACTACCGTTTCAGGTGAACTAGTGAAAAGTGTAAAATTTGCAGTGAAAATAGTAGAAGATATTCATATGTTCTCAGTCTAAAAATCTCCTCTTTCTTTTTTTGCCATATAAACAAAGTGCCATTTAAATTTTGTTACAAAATTAAAAATATATATAATTTATAGCAAAATTTAATGAAAGAATTTTCAATAGTGAAAACGAACCAGCGACTGAATATGAAACTTTAAAAGGCGTACAAAACAATACCATCATTAATTGAATATCTTTCGCATTTGATTCGTTTACACAACAGCCCTTCAGATTCAGTGCACCGCATTACATCCAATTTTTGTTTTCTGTAACCGAGACAGTTTGAATAAAGAAAAATTTATTTTTCTTCTTGCATTGAGCAGAAGAATAATAAAGTTATCAAAAACATTTAAAAGGAAAATCAATTTTTGCAAGTTTAAATGCGGTATAAGCAAAAAAAAAAAAAAA